CACTTAATACATGAATGCTCTTCTGCCTCTGCCACTGCTGAGAGAGCAAGACAACCTCTCCTCTTCCTCCTCCTCTTCCTTAGCCTGCTCAACATGAAGACAACCAGGATTAAGACCTTTATAATGATCCACTTCCACTTAGTGAACGGAAATATATTTTGTTTTTTTTAATTTATTTTAATTTATTTTTTATTTTTATTTAAGCCTACAGCACCTGGCATCCCAGGTGTTCTCCCATCTAAGTACTAAGCTAGGCCCGACCCTGCTTAGCTTCCAAAATCAGACAAGATCAGGTGCATTCAGGGTGGTATGGGCGTAGGCTATATTTTGTCTTTCTTTTGATCTTCTCTTTCCTTCATTCCTTCCTTCCTTCTTTCTTTCTTTTCCTCCCTCCTTCCTTCCCGATCTCTCTTTCTGTCTCTTTCTCTCTCTTTCCCTCCCTCTCTCTCTCTTCCCCTCTCTCTCTTTCTCTCTCTCTCCCTCCCTCCCTCCCTCTCTCTCTTCTTCTTCTTCTTCCTCTCTCTCTCTCTCTCTCTCTCTCTCTCTCTCTCTCTCTCTCTCTCTCTCTCTCTCTCTCTCTCTCTCTCTCGTGTTGCCTAAGCTAGAGGGCAGTGATGTAATCAGAGCTCACTGCTGCCTCAACCTCTTGGGCTCAAGTGATCCTCCCACCTCAGCCTCCCAAGTAACTTGGACTACCAGCTAGGACTCCCAAGCAGGTGGAACTACCCCACCTGGCTAATTTGTATTTTTTATTATTTTTTTGTAAAGACAAGGTCTCACTATGTTGCCCAGGCTGTTCTCAGACTCCTGGACTTAAGCCATCCTCCTTCCTTGAGCTCCCAAAGTGCTGGGATTGCAGGCATGAGCTACTGTGCCTGGCCAGGATTTTATTACTAACATTTTCTTTTCTGTAGCTCACTTTTATAAGTCTACAGTTTATAATACAAATAACATACTGAATATGTCTTAATTGATTGTGTTATTGGTAAGGCTTCCTGGTCAACCTGAGGATATTAGTAGTTAAGTTTTAGGAGAGGCAAAGGTTATGCTCAGATTTTTAGCTGCTCAGGAGTCAGTACCCTAACTCTTGTGTTATTCAAGGGTCAACTGTACAGTCACTTCCCTGCTTCCTGGTGGAGATGATTGAGACTGAGGGAGATTATGAATTCTGCCCAAGGCCACATGGTTGGCAGGGGTGGCACTGGAGACCTGCCTGCCCCCAAAGGCATTCTCCTAATTATTCCTTGAATACTTCTTCCACTCTGGTTTTCAGACCACTGACATCAGAATTACCTAGAATCAGAGCCCTACCCCAGACTTATTAAATTAGAATTCTTGGGGGTAGGACCCAGAAATCCATATCTTAGATGAGATCTCTTCTGGTGATTCTTCTATATGGAGAAATTTGTGAATTTCCTTGTTCGCTGCATTGCCCTTCTGACTCAGTGAAACGTGGTCCTTGGGTCCCAGCCAAGAAAGGCCACTGTTCCTCCGCGTGGGCCGTGGTGAGTCTTCCTCGGCCTGCCCCTGTCTTGATGCATCATAAATGCCACTTTACTTCCGTACCCAGAGAAGCATAAATAAGCAAATTCATGAATCATGGTTTTGTTTATATTTTGGTTGCTGTGGCTAAATATTTATTGCTTTAAGTAAGAGGTTCTGCTTTAATTAGAGTCATAAGTAACCACAAGTGCATAGAAATGCATTCTCATGGCTATAAGACATGCATTTCTCGACAGAAAGCTGAAGGCAACTAACACTTTTAATCAGCCAGTGCCTGATCAAAGTATAGAGGCTTATCTAAATGAATGAATCATGTTTGAAATTGAAAAGTGATTACAAGTTTCATTTATGGATTATCTATTGTTCTTACTATGACTTACAAGGTCATATTTATGATGCTATGGCATAAAGGTATAAAGGCATGGGTAACAGAAAGCCTGTGGTTATGATGACCATAAGCTACATTTAACTTTGAAATGTGCTGTTTTCTCCTCCCGATCTTGCCCCTTGCCCTCCTTCTCTGGGAATGGGTGCTCTCCACACTAAATCCCCAGGAGAGTTTTGGAAGATATTGATGTCTAAGCCTCACTGCAGGCCAATTAAATCACAGTCTCTGGGAAAGAGATCTTGGCATGGGCATTTTTTAAAAGCTCCCCTAGTGATTCTAATATATATTCAAAATGGGAACCACTGCCCTAGAAGGTTTAGTGAGTGAGGGTGCTGGCTGTGTAGTCAGACTGGCATTCAGATCTTGGCTCTATTATTTCCTAGCTATGCGACTTTGGGCAAATTACTTAGCCTCTCTGGGCTTTGCTTTCCTCATCAGAAGAATGGGGATAACAGTGCCTAACTTGAGAGGTTGTCATAAGGATTCAGTGAGATAATGCCGGGAAGCATGTGTTATATTAGCTTAGGAGCATTTAACCTGATACTTAGTAATGGCTCGATAAATAGGGGATGTTATTATTGCTCTTATTATTCATATGTTTCACTTCAAATAACCATCCATTAGTGGGAGCAGGTATCACTGAAGACTATTGGGGGATCAGGAGTAGCTATGCTAGAATTCAGCCTTTGCTGGTGCAGGTAAAATACAACAGGTCTGTTTGATACAAGCATATGCATCTCATAATTAGACTATACAACCCTAGTCAGATCTTTGTAAGCTTTATCCGCTCCTAGCAGTACCAGTGAGAATTTGGGATTTATAGCAAGACAGTGTCTGTGTTATGGGTGATACATAAATAATGTTTATGCTTGTTCACACTTTAGACTCTTTTAAGATAAATCCCTTTAGAATACAAGGTCTGTGGGCTGGTGATCATTTGCGTGACTGGCATATATAATTGTGTCTTCCCGTGAAAGCCAGAACCCAGGGTGTAGCCTGTACCAGCCGAGTAGTCTCTACAGCAGAAAGAGGGGATTGCTTCTTAACTGACCACACTGGGGGGTTTCTCTCAGCCAGTCTTTTTCTTTCTCCTAATTCCTGAATCTTTTGCAAGGAGATGGTCTGCTTTGTTGACTATACCTGTTTTATAAATAGCCAGATTTCTCCAAACCCCTCCAGCTTTCAATCCTTTGCTGAAATAAGACAAGCACATTGAAATGTTTTTCTTTGAAGAATGCATTAGGAAAGTCAGTCACCTGCAAGAGAGCAACACAAAAGGTGGCAAACAAAAAGAATCCCTAGTGGTGAAGGCTGATTAGCAAATTTACTAATTAAAGGTTAGTTTACCCTTGTGGAAACATCCTGGAGGCAGAGACCAAATCCTGTGACCAATCATGGTGTCATTACCCACCCCAATGCAGACCCACAGCTCCTGACTTCTGGTTGACCGGCAGAGCTAATGGCTGGTTTCCTGGAACTAAAGCCTTGATCTTTCCTTAGCATCTGGCCTTAAAGGTTAAACAAGACTATTTGAATATTATACACCATGGTCATGCATATAAACAGGCTCCCTGTTTTCACCCACCCATACCCCAGACTTTTCCAAAGATGCCCCCATGGGGGTGGAAGTATCCACAAAGCCCGAGCACATGCCTTTGAGAGGATGCTTCCTCCCTGCTCTTTGGCCCTAAGCTGAAGCATAAGTCATACATTCCAAAGCCACGTGGAAATGCGTTTCATGCTTGCTGGGGTTCTGGGTTCTTTGTTCCAAGTGTGCGAATACATTGGAGGGAGTGATATGTGTTTATGGGAGATGTGGCTCTCACTAGGAAGGATGTACTTGAGCAATGCTGGGCTAGATCAAAAAACGTCTCACTCAGCCTGCAGAGACTCCAATGGGTTATTCGAACCCTACGCCCTTAAACATAAACAGTCCATAGGATGTAAGTTATTTTGTGTTTTGTTTCTTACTTCAAAACTTGAGGGACTCCAAAGCTGGTTATGAAAAAGCCCCAAGAATGCTGAGCATTTCCGGTGTGGTGTGCTGGGCCAGGGACATCAAAGGTTCTGTTTGCAGCAGTGCTGGTACAGGGCGACAGAAGCCTTCATCTTGTTCCTCCCCACGCTCCTCCCCACATAATTGCTTTTATTATTCACACCAGCTAAACAAAGGGAAGTTGCATGACTGCAGTGTGTGTGAGCCACACACAGCACTTGCCTTGGAAAGGCTGTGCACACGCTAACTTTGTGGGATCCTTGGCCCTTGGCTCAACCAGGATGAGGGTGGGGTGTATGTGGGGGTGGTGGGATGGTCGTGGTTAATGCAACCCAACATGTATTCAGGATGTTTCCATCAAACATGACCTCATCTCTTCCAGCCCGCTGGCCATCATTATACTGGTGGTCACTTTTGACTTAATGGTTACAAAAATAATTCCTTTAATTGCCAAAGTGGAAATTCATAGATTGCACGTAGTTGGTTCTTACCTCCCCCAAGAGGCAAGAGGTTGGAGCTATTACGGACACCGTCTCCATAACATCAGAACAACTCATTAATTCAGGGAAAAACAAAGCAAAGCAAAACAAAATAAAGCCATAAAATCCGTGCCAGGTCGGTGCTTGGATGTTGAGCAGATCAAATAGCTGGAGAGGTTTCCTTCTTCTTTAATAGCTGTATTTCTTCATCCTAAACAGACAGTCACATTATGATCACTAGGAGGAGAAATTCACTTATTCCACAAAGATTTTTTTAAGCCCCTCTATGTCTTAGGTTCATGAGACAGATGAAGTCTCATGGTGTTGAGACACACAACGAGCAAATCAATAAATGAAAAAAATAATTTACAGTGGGGAAGGTCTTATGAAGAAAATAAAATGAGGTGATCCAGTAGAGTGAAGCGGATTTTTACATCTGAAGTCCAGTAAAATAAAAAGCATATGTTGAAAGATACTAGCTAGTCAAGGAAAATAGCTGGTTACCAAAAAAGTTATTTCTTTGTTGGGGTTATTGGAAACTCAGAGAGGGGTTCTCCCAGAGACTATCTCCTAGCTGAAAAGAAGTTTCAAGTTATCACCATGGATGAACCAGTTACCTCCCTTCTTCTCACAGGGGGAAGTCCAGCTAAGCAGACCACCTGGGAAGGAGGGCACCGTGTCCCGGCACTGGCTTACTGGCCTGGCAGAGTTCCAGTCAATGTCACCAGCACTGCCTTGTTAAGGTATGAAACCCAAACTACCTTGAGATGTTGGGGTCCAGAGCAAGAAAAGCCATGGAGATGGGTGGCTAGAGGCCTCAGGAAGGTCATTCATCACTGGCCTTTGCCAGGCTTTCCCAGACACTTCTAAGACTCTGATTGTAGAAGCTATGAAAGTAATAGTGAAGTAGGGCCAAGGGTGGGGGCTCACTTCTGTAATCCCAGAACTTTGGGAGGCCAAGGCAGGAGCATTGCCTGAGGCCAGGAGTTTGAGACTACCCTGGTCAACATAGCAAGACCCTGTCTCTAAAAAAAGGGAAGGGAAGAGACGGGAGGGGAAGGGAAGGGAGGGGAGAGGAGATGAGAGGAGGGTAGGAAGGAACAGTGAAGTGGGACTCAAGCCATCTTCTGGGAATAATGCCTGAGTGGAGAAGGGATTGGTTAGTTTCACATATGTCAGCATGGGGTCCTGGCTGTGTGCTGGAGAGAAAGCCACAGAAAAGATGGCAGCAGCAGCATCTCCCCTCTCAGCCTGGGCCAAGCTGAAAGAGGGATTAGATCATTTGAGCTCTGATTATTCCATCCTTGGGGTTAAGACAGGTGTCTTAGGGGTGACTGTGAGAAGCCAACTAGTCTCTAGCAATCAGATGGGCCCAAGAAAGGAGTCCAGATGTCCACTTCCCCAGGAGGAGGGTGGAGAAGAAAGGAGGCCCCTCCAGGCCATTAGGGAAAGAATGAATCCTTAGGTAAAGACATTCTTCCTACTTCTGGCCATGAAGCTTCTCAATGAGCTGAGTCTCTGGGTGCTTCCTTTGTTAGAAGGAAGCTCTCTGCGTAACTCACTGCAGACCCAGCACATCAGGTAAATGTGACGTCTCACCATTACTCTTACTGCCGCAGTAAGGCAGATCCAGGAGACCATCTCCATGGCAAAGAACTTGGCTGTGCAGCATCTACGTGAAAGCAACATCTTCCCAGCTATGGAACCATGACTTATACTGGGAACGTTTCACTGATTCGGACAGGACCTTCATCTCTGGGTTCTGCCCTGTGTTCACTAACAAGGGGGACCCTCCGTAGAACCCTGTGCTCATTCCTGTGCTAAGAAAAATTGGTCTGGTTAAAGACCAATTTCCTAATTCCAGAGGTTCTTTGCCATTAGCCCAATGAGTTCTGGCATAAAGAACACAGCTGAGTAGAGGCAAGCAAGCTTCATTGGTACTCTGTGACTCCCTAGATCCAATGGGGAGGAGGGGAGGACTCAAGCCCAGGAGAAAAGAGTAAACAGCTCTGAGGGCCAAAGTATGGGGTGGGTGGGCATCATCCCTGGCAGCCTGTGGGGCCCCCAGGAATTCCGGGTCAGCCCTCTGCAGTCAGGAGAGGGCAGCGTGCTGTCAGCGGGTACTAGCAGGTGTGACAACAGCAGCGGAGCCTGGAATCTGTGATGTCAGACTGCCTGGGAAAAGGGCCAGGCAGGCTGCTTTTTATAGGGCTGACTTGGTGTAGTCAAAGTGCTTACCAAGAGGGGCCAAGTGTTCATGGCTGGACTGCACATGCACAGCCAACTCAGCCATCTCTCAAGCTGCATCACAGACAGCCAAGCAGTGGCTTCTCATTGGAGAATGGCGTTTGCACCTACAGTCAACCATGATCAAGCGGCCTCATCTTGTTGATAATGTAGGGCTTAGAGGAGACAACTGACTGAGGGGATGGTTTGGTGACCCAAAGGCAGTGAGTTCTGGGTACAAGGCAGTGTCTGCCTGAGGGCCCCTGGAATTTTGCCAGGACAATACCAGTATACCATATCATAGCTCTTGGGAGATACATTAGGTTGGTGCAAAAGTCGTTGTGGTTTTTGCTGTTACTTTTAGTAGTTAAAAGTGCAGTTACTTTTGCAACAACCTAATATATGTGTATATGTGTGTGTGTACATACATACATATACACATATATATATTTTATTTTATTTATTAATTTTTTTGAAGAGACAGGGTCCCACTCTGTCACCCAGGCTGAAGTGCAGTGCGGAGATCATAGCTCACTGCAGCCTTGAACTCCCAGATTGATGTACTCCTCCCACCTCAGCCTTCCAAGTAGCTAGGACTACAGGCATGTGCCACTATGCCTGGCTAATTTTTTAACTTTTTGTAGGGACAGGGTCTCTTTCTTTTTATTTTTTTTAGTTTTGAGACAGGGTCTCACTCTGTTGCTATGGAATGCAATGGTCTCGGCTCACTGTCTCCTGGGTTCAAGCGATTTCTCCTGCTCCAGCCTCCTGAGTAGCTGGATTATAGGTGGCCACTACCATGCCCAGCTAATTTTTGTATTTTTAGTAGAGACGGGGTTTCACCGTGTTGGCCAGGCTAGTCTCCAATTCCTGACCTTGTGATCTGCCCGCCTTGGCCTCCCAAAGTGCTGAGATTACAGGTGTGAGCCACCGCACCTGGCTGGGATGGGGTCTCTTAATGTTGCCCAGGCTGGTGTTGGACTCCTGGTCCCAAGCACTCCTCCTTCCTGAGCCTCCCAAAGCACTGGGATTAGAGGCGTGAGCCATCACACCCAGCCAAGGACAGCTTTTGGTTAAATTAGGCTGGATTTCAGGCAGCCAGTCTTAACTCTATAGATTTACCCTCTTGCTGTTTCTCATGTTAATCCATGTAAAGCAAATTTGGGTGGAGTTTCCTTACTGCCTGGACAGGCTGTGTGTGCGTGTTTCTCTTTCCCTTGATGCCTCAAGAGTCAGCTTGAAAGAGAATCGTGTTATGATCCAAATTCAAGAAACTGATGCTAATGCTTCATGTTTTTGGGAACCCAGCCTGGCACCCCCCGCCTAGACTGTATATCATCTACTCTTATTTTATTTCTTGAGGAATAGAGATCTTCCAGATCAGAGATAAGTCCCTTAAGCCCCTAAGAGCTAAAGCCAGAGTCCCTTATACCTATATTCTCAAGGCCCTGAGGAATTATGAGCATCAGAGAGTAGTCAAGTTGATATAAATATGAATACAGAAAAGTGGAAGAAAAGGTGTGGGGGATCCATTCACATTGATTCAATTGGTTTTGGAGATAACCAGTGTTAATATTCAGTGTGCACCTGGGTGATATCATAAGATGAGAGAAAGGCCTTGCACATGGCCTGCCTCCAAAGACACAAGTACAGAATGGGGAAAATGCATTTATTCAACAAATATTTATTGCTGTGTCCAACTGTAGTTCAATCATTACTCCAGGAACTGGGGTGGTGGCAGCCACGAGCAGACTAGGCAGAAAGCTTTTTGTTTAGGGACTCCCTTACCTTCAGGAAGGCAGGTCTTTGGCTGCCCATGTGAAAACATTTCAGAAATTTTCACCTAAAACTGCGATTGCAGGCTTTCCGAACCGGGGCATGGTCGGCATTTGGGGCTGGATCACAATTTGTTTTGGAGGACTGTCCTGTGTACATTATAGGATGTTTAGCAGCAGCCCTGGTTTCTACCCATTAGATACCAGTGTGTCCCCACCCCACCTCCTAAGTTGTACAATCAGTACGTTTCCAGGCAGCACCAAATGTCTTTGGGGAGGACGAACTCACGCCGGCTGAGAACTATGGCTTTAGCAGAAGCCCTCTTAGCCATCTACAAGGAGGGGAAGGGCCTGCTCTGCCTCTGAGCTGGGAGACCCCATCTCTGCTCCAAATGAGGATCAATCCTTCAGAGATGAACCGGGGCAAGTATGAGGTGACCAGAATGGCAAAAAGGACTTGAAACAATCTCGTTTGAAAAACAGCTAAAGCTGCTGTATAGCCAGGAGAACAGGTAATCCCCTGGGCTACCTCGGCTCTCTGAGAGACAGTCAGGTGTGTGGAAGAGGGATTCGCCTGGTTCTAGCCTGTCTCAAAGCACAGGTCTTGGAAGTAGGAGCTGCGAGGAGGCTGTGCTACTCACAGCAGTATTCTGTGGTTTTGGTGTCACCTCCAGGCAGGGCCTAACCACATGTCCCCTTTCTAAGCCCTCTCTTCCTACCTGGATCTGGGAGTGCGTGGTGGCAGTTGGGGGAGGTGGGGAGGTGGTCTCACCCCCACCCCCACTCTTGGCAGCTCTCTTTACTCTGTAAGATGTGTTTGGTTTACTGGGTGGCATCCCCTGATGCTCTGGGACCCCTGGGACCCCAGTTCTCCCTGAAATCAGTGTGGTTGGGGCTATGCTGGCTTCTAAGAGGGACCCACGTGTGGATGAGGGTACCAGGGAAGCTGCCCATCAAATGTGAGCACAGGCTTGCCGCTCACATCTCCACGGCTGAGACCAGGAAGGGGTGGGCGCCTCACTTTTCTCGGTGATAATGACAGGGAAGAACAATGCAGGAAAAAACTTAAAACTAAATGCGGAAAGAAATGTACAGCTCAGAGCTAAGAAAGAACTGCTCTCATGGCCGAGGGATGATCCCTGCTGTTCCCTGTCCCCTCCTCTTCTTCAGAGGAAGTTCTCTTGGCGCCCTCACTCGGGAGAGATGAACACAAAACCCTTCCTCTCTGTCCAGGTCCAAGTGCCTCCAATGTATCCCTGAGCAACCCCCTCCTGCTTCTCACTTCGTGTCCTCAGATCAAATCCACCTTTTTTCCAGATAAAATGTTCTCAGCTTCTATGAAATACCCTTCCTCTCCATCCCCTGCCTTCATCCTGGGATGCCTTCCACCCCAGGGCTGCCCAGCGCAGCAACTCGGTTCCCATCCTATGCGTCCTGAAGTCCATGTGGGTCCCTCTGGAAGGAACTCTTCTGTGGACCTTCCACTCCCTCTTCCCCATCCCTTACCTGCACACTTTGGGGTCCAGCAGGCCAGGCCTTTCTTTCTTTTTTTTTGAGATGGAGTCTCAAGGCTGTCGCCGAGGCTGGAGTGCAATGGCGTGATCTCAGCTCACTGCAACCTCCACCTCCCAGGTTCAAATGATTCTCCTGCCTCAACCTCCCAAGTAGCTGGGACTACAGACGTGTGCCATCACACCCAGCTAATTTTTGTATTTTTAGTAGAGATGGAATTCCATCACGTT